GCTGATAGAATGGAAAGAAAGTACATTGATAAAGATAGTTGATTCGGAATTAGGAGGGGAATAGTCTCTTGTTCTTACACGTTGCTTACGCTGCCTGCATGCGTTACAGGCCTGCGCAACTCGTCTGCGCTTATCTGCCGGGACTCTCAGTCGTGTCATGCCAGATACAACTGTCGAGGTGGTACACTTCGAAGATAATCTTTGTGTCGCTTTATACAGAGGAGATTGTTTCCGCAGAAGAGTCCCGTGGTATTGATGTAAGCTGATGCGTGTTGCAAAAGCGACTGGATAGCTGGTGACTCAATCGTATTAATTGTGAGGGCCCTTGTACCTGAATTGTGAGATTCAGCCAGAGAGGTCTGCAGCAGGCCCTGCCAAGACTGTTCAAGATACGAAACTAAAAGACAAAGAGGACTCCCGCAACTGCAGATTCACTCCGGGGAGGTCTTGCTCGGTTGGTGGGCGTCTTGGTCAATATTGGATCCGAAGATGTTGGAGGCCACAGCTTTATATATAGGGCTCTACCTTGGCAGGAGGCTTCTAGAGAAACAGCCTTGGATTTTACAAATGAGATGCAACGACCATGCAGTGGAGCAATGACACTTAACATTAACAAGAGAGCACAGCGGGACGGCAGACACTTTCTACCCATCTTGCCAACGCTGGGGACTCAAGTCATCCAACTAGAAGCCGTACCAACAGCTCGGAACCAGGCTGTATGATGTTATGTGACCAGATAAAAGCAGCGACGCTGGTGGGAGAGGTAGAGCAGACAATTGTGGCGTCCCATGGGCGTTCCATGGCGCATGGCCGCAGGAGCTGAGAGGGGTCCTGAGACGTACACAGTAGACGTGGAGTGATTGATTGAAAGGCCCTCCTTGTCTGAGTGATCATCCTGGAACTTCTGGCTGCGAAGTCATATCATTGGCTTTAGGCTGGGGTCGCAAGGTCCTGCAGTAAAGGGGAGGGGCAGATCTGAGACCAGAAGAAGCAAGTATATGCTATTGGAAGGGCCTTGTGGAATGGAAAGAATCCTGTCTCTATGATCCTAGTGCGACAGTCCAACATAATGGCTTTTCTAAGCTCGCGACGCGAGGTAGTTTGAAGTCCTGGGTGGGGGACACGTCGCTCTAGATGATGGATCGATCCTGGGGGTGTGGTTTTCTCAATCGGAACTCAGAAAGTCTTGGTATTTCTGTTGGTTGTTTGTTTCTCGTATTATGTCGAGTATCAGACTAGTGGTCTTTTCTCTCTCTGGCCAGGTTGTCCATCGTGAAGAAGTTTAACTTGCTGGTCCAGTCGGAGGAAAGAGAGAAGTCTATTCACTTTGCTTCTTCCACGTGACGACCATCAGCTGCCGGCAAAGTCGCTTTGTGTAACCGACCTTCCTTCACTTACATGCGGCTCGGGACGCCTTAGTCATCCATCCATCCATCCATCCATCCATCCATCCACTTGTTTAGCTACCTAGCTTAGGTAGGTACTCTAAGGTAGGTATTGAAACTCAAAGCTCAGCCTGGCAAGGATCTCAACATCATCTTCATCTATGAGCATTCCGATCCCGCCTTCTACTTCTCTTACCTCACCATGTCTTAGTTTAAGCGTTTCAACAAACAGGGGTACTTGATTCATCGCCACTAGCATCGGTCGAATGGGCAACTCCAGCCAGTATTAACACGCTTGTGCAGATAGCCGCTTGCTTGTTTTTTCCTCGCCAATCGAGACCTTGACTGGTAACTTTTACAGTGATATGTCTGAGGCCACGGCACTCTCCAGCTATTTTCTATGTATTGTATAACCTTGTCCGCCGACCGGGTTCGCGGATTCTGTCCTATTCCCCGAGACAAACCCACAGCCACTTTAGTCAACCAATTCATAGATTGCAGTCCTAGTCTTGCCCGCTTCCTTCAGTTGAGGCATCACTAATGCAAGTCGACAAGAAAGGTCAGCCCTCTCAGGGAGGCCTTCGACTGTTTCATCCTCCTGCATGAATTGTTGATCACGATTGCTCACGATCACTTCCATTGAAGACACTACTATGGGCCATGACACATCTCAAAACAACAATAGCTTAGCTGGCGTTGGTACGTGGCTGATACACCCAATACATGCAGGCATATGGAGATGCGTTCACAATCTAGTCAACCCAAGTTGGGCCTTAGCATCTCGGCATTTCCCGTTCAACTCCGCAATAAAGCTGAATTAATTTCATGGTCTCGCCTTCAGCCGAACGCCGATCAATTACTAAAGATTGAAGGATGCCTGGGAACTTATGTGGGTTTGCTTGACCTTGCAGACAGGAACTACTTATCTGTTCGATCCAATGCTCCGATGGTGTGGACCAGATCGAAGGGATGTTCTTTGGATACGTTTACTGAAAAGGAGCCCAAGATGAATAGAGAGTGTAGAAACGATTGTATACAACACTACGCACCTCTGATCTCGTATCTCGAAGCTGCCTAGTTACTCCTTTGCTGAAAGACGATGATTTTCTTGAAGGTATAGTGAATAAGAAGACAACTACATGGCAGCAATATGAAATAAGGTACCTTAGACTGTTGGAGTACCTAGTATAGATGGACTTGTAGGCACAATGATTGAACAATCCCATGGACACATGATTGTCATGCTGTCTTTCTGGGATACACATCATCGGGCGACAGACAGCAAGAACCGTAACGTTAGGACATACGAGGTTCTCAGTTTACGCAGACGGTATTTGAGAGTCTCATTTTCGGAGCCCTTCTTTATCCATGGAACTTGTAATGGGAAGCCGACTTACTAAAGTATCTTTCTCGGCAGAGGACTTCGCATCTGCAAAGACTTGAGGACTTCTTCAACACAGCATGAAAAACACGATATACCAAACCTAATGGCACAAAGAACTAGTTTATTAGAGATGTGCTCCGGCATCAAACATGTTTCATCATTGGATTTGTGGTTCTGACTATCTGGCAAAACACCACTAAAGGCGTAGACATAATACCAAGAGTGCGTTCCAAGCGCAATTACTAGCCATTGTCTATAGCAAAAAATATCGATATATTACAGGGAATCTTCGTAAGCTCACAGTACCAGTCGTCCTGGCTCCTCCTCCAGAATCACCTTGCAACGCTCAAGGAAGATTTGTGCTCTCTCCTCCTCTGCCTTGGGGACCACAAGAGTAAAGACATTGGCGCCGCTGGACAGACCAGGGACGGCCTGGATGGTAGCGGGCTTGGGAGCTGACTTCTTCGGCGCGGCGAGGATGTCAATGATGTCAGTCTGCTTTCGGGCGGGGGAGAGAGGAGTGAGTAGAGAGGTGGGAGGGACAGCAGAGATCTGGGGTAGGTAGACACCGCGAGCCCCCTTAACAGCCTTGATCTTATCGAGGCCGAGAACCTGGTCAAAAAGCTCGTTGGCGGTAGGGGCACGCTTAGTAGGAGGGAGGTCGTCGTTGGCAACCTCAGCAGCTCGGCCGACAAAGGTCGAGATGGGCAGGAAGACGCCGAGGGTCTCGTGAATCCGGTTCTGGACCTCAACGACCTTGGATAAAGTAATGGGGATGGAAACTTCGAGGTTCTCGACAACGGGGGCCTTAGGAGCCTCAGGCTTAGCCTCCTCAACAGGCTTGGAAGGAGGAGCAGGCTTAGTAGCCACCTTGATGTTGCTCAGGTCGAGGTGGAACAGGTTGTTGAAGTTGACCTCGTTGGCAGCGGGAGTCTCGGGGTTGATACTTCCAAGGTAGGCAAGGATATCACCCTTGAGCAATCGGCCATGAGGACCAGTGCCCTTGATCTTCTTGAGGTCGGCCTCACTGATGCCCTTCTCCTTGATCAGATGTCCAACTGAGGGCAGCAGGGGGTACTTGTGTTCGTAGGTATCGTTACCAGTAGGCTTTGCGCTCTTCTTCTCCACGGGGTTCGACTCGGAGGGGGCGGTGCTCTCCTTGGGGGCCTGGGTGCTGGACTGTTCCTTCGGTTGCTCCTTGGCCTGTTCGTCGGCGGGGATCTCGAGGGAGTTGATATCATCGCCGGCCTCAGCAATGACACCAATGCGTGATCCGACCTGGACAGCCTTACTTCCATCACCAGCCATGATCTTGACCATGATACCATCATCCTGGGCCTCGACATCCATACTGGCCTTGTCGGTCTCTATCTCGAGCAGCACATCACCGGCACTGAAAGCCTCTCCTTCCTTGACCTTCCATGTAGCAATGTTACCCTCGGTCATAGTCGGCGAGAGGGCGGGCATGGTGAAGTTCTGAGCGGCGAGGCATCGCGTCGAGGTGGTGAAGCCTACAGCAGGTGATGATGTGTTAGTCGGTGCGCGACAAAAGGGTCCGAGGGGCTTTTTCAACATCAGGAAATGGACAGAACGTACCACGAGCAATAGCGGGCCGAGCAGTAACAGCTCGGGCAGATGCCCTACATGCTGCTGTAAGAGAGGCCATTGCACAGCTCAATTGAGGGTGAAGAAGTCGAGATGAGGCGGTTGAGGGAGATTTTCGGTGCACGTAAGAGCGACCTCGGGGTGTTGAGGGATTGAGCTGTTGAGATATCCTTATTAGTGGGTCCGACAGTTTGGAAATTTTTGGCGCGACTTATACATGAGCTTCAACGTTTATTCTTTACTACGGTCGCAGGAGACGAATACAGACTAATGACAATTGTTCTGATTCAAGAAGCTCATTATTTACTTTGAGTAAATACTTTCTTCACATGTTGGTTCTTCACAAAGCCCATGCCATGATCAAGCCCATCTCAACCGTTGAATTTGGCCATCTCCTCGGGTTGCGGCGAAAAGTTGTCCGATCGGGAACTAACTATTGCCGGTTTATTACCGATCAGAATTTCCAAATAGCTTCATTTCTGAAAGTTCAGCCCACTATCATTTAGCAATCATTTAGCAATATCAACTGGATGGCACCACCGAACAACCCAAAGTATTCCTGCCGTCCGTGAGATTTCCAGTTGTCTCTTCTCTCAATTCCACCTTCGAGGAGCTCAATTCTCGCAATGGCTGGCCTCGCAAGGGGCTTCTGCCTCCCTGGCCTCCGGCCCCTCCTTGCACCCCGTGCCGAGTCCGTCCTCCTCCGATCCCGTTTCTTCAGCACCTCCGTTCTCCGATTTGCAGGACCTGTTGTGAAAGCAGCTCGAACTCCTACGGCCTCAAGGGCTGCTGCTGCCTCCGCCGCCCAAATGGCACCTAGTAAATACGCCTTCATCAAGAGTCTCGCTTCAAAACCAACCCCAACCGTCCTCTACGAAGGTCCCTCACATTTTTGGTTTTACTTTGGCTGCTGGTCGAGTGGGCTATTCTTACTTGCTTGGACAGGGTCTACTACGAGTTTGGTAGTAAAGCAGCCTGAAGGTGTACCGCAATGGATCGGCATTGTGTTTGGAACAGCATATCTCCTACTCGCTTCCATGGGAACATTTATGATCGCAAAAACTCCAAACATTGTTGGACAGATCCGTGTTCTTCCGTACCAGGCATCCAAGATCGCTCCCACCACACCATTACAGTTGGAAGTCACTGTTAAGAGAATGGTCCCATTTCTCAAGCCTAAGGTCATTGTCGCTCCAGTTAGCGATATTGCTCTCAAGACGCGCTTCTCGCTTCCAGACGAGTATGTACCTCAACTGAGGCGCGTAGAGTTGGAGGCGAAGGCGAAGGAGCAGCAAAAGGCCTTACATGAGTTCGACATGCAGCACATCTTCACAATGCCTTTCCGAAGGATGGGTCGAACCCTGGCAGCCATGTTTAACGGTGTCAAATCTGCGTGGACTGATATGGGCTTTGGTTTCATCATAGTTGACGGCAAGAACTACAAGGTGGACGTGACCAAGGGCTTTGCTCATGACGGCTTCAGGACGTTGGAGAAGCTCGTGGATATCAAGTCATGAGTCGCTTACCCTGGAGGACCATGACGAAGACCTCAACCAAAACCCACCAAGTTTTATTCAAGGGTTGGGGGTGTCTCATTAGCCTGTACTTTTATTGTATACAACATTTATGAAGAACATATGATCTATGGGCCGAGAATATTATAAGTACTGTATGATAATTCAGCATCTCAATCTGAGAGATCATTAGATCACGATTGAACCGAGTAAGTTTGGACAACCAGAGCACTCGTGAAAGAGAAATATTCGCACCTCGTGATAAAATCGACCGATCTGTCATGCACACAAGATCCAAGCTGCTCAACCAAGCGGGACTGTTGCAAGAAAGCAACGTTCCCTGTTGCTACAAGGTGTTGCCATATACAAATCGCTCAATTTGACACTACACCGGCTGAGACCGAGGCGGACAAGAACACAACACGTATATTCGAGGTTGATTGCATTATCACATATCCACAGTTACAAGTGCGGGTAAAATCAAGTAGATAATACAAGACACTTAGTATCCTCTGGGACGACGTGCAGAACATGAGATCTGAAGATATCCACATGCCGTTCTTCAAGGTCCATGAATCACTCCTTGTAAGTGAGTGACATTCTAATATCTGTCTTCCCTCGTGATATCCGAGACTTGGAAACCGACGTGTAATGAACCTCGATCAGACACCGCCAGAAGGGGTGTGCTAGTTGACGTCGATATACAAATATTTCTAAATACAAGGAATTTGACAGTACCAAATATCACCTCAAACTTGACGCCAGCACTGACGTCT